CATTGTGAGTGTGCAAACTCCACCTCTCTAACTGTGCAGACCGGTTGCTGGATCCTGGCACACCCTGAGATGCTGCTTAAGGAGAGCGGTGCCAGGTGGGCTATCAAGGAGGCTGTCTGAAGAAAAGGCAGCTCTCTTGTCTCTGCAGATGCATACAAGGGAAAAAGGCTGGGATTTTTCCTGGCTTCCGGTTTCATGCCCGCTCTCAGCTTTCCACCAGCAGGAAGTATCGGGAGGTAAACTGCCCAGTTTGTGATGCACGAACGTTTAAAGAGGCGAGGGATTGCCTGGCATGGAGAAGCATGCCTCTCCGGGCGGCTGCTGTGCAGAAGTCTCGAGTCCACAAAGCCGCAGGTGTTAACAGTTGAGAGCTTCAGCCAAAGCTCATCTGTAATTTGAGGTAGAGACTATAAGGCACTGTGGGGGTCTCAGTCCTGCACCAGTGGTGCGGAAACAGGTTGTACCTCCTGACTTGCCACTGACTCTTCAGCAGAATACTAGCGTGCTATTTGGGCTTGCACCACCAGCTGATGTCCCCCAGAAGAAGGGCAGCCTTCAGGCTAAGGTAAAAAGACCGTTGCTAGTATGCTTTTGATGCACCCCTACACCCATCACCCACCCACCATCTCAAGCTGCATAGACCATAGCTGGCATCCTCGTTACCTAGCCATTCGTTCATTTTTGTTGGTTTTGTCCCCCATCCCACCAGCATAAGGAAGGGAACTGGTCAGAAGAGGGAGGGAGAGAGTGAAAAAGGCAAGTCTGTCGCAAACGCGGCTTTTGGGGAGGACCGTGGGACAGAGCCCATAAAAACACAGGCGCTTGTTTGCAGACGCCTTTTGTCATCTTGCCGTGTTAATGACTTCTAACTTTGCTGCCCTGCCGTGCTTTGTGGCCACACGATAATTTATTTTACTGCTCTCGACATGCAACGTGTTCACTGTTGCTTGTTTAAAAAAAAAAAAAAACCAACCATGGAAGGTATTGTACCGTCGCAGTCTGAGTCATGCACTGCACGGTTCATCGAAATGTCCAGCCTCGCCGTCTTAAAGTGCACGCATGCACTAAACTAAACCTCCCACAAAGCACACGGAAATACCCACGTACAGCAGGA